CAGCGGAGGGCCTTTTCAGTTTTTTGGGAAAGTAGGGCATTCAGTTCCAAGCGTTTTTGGGACAATAGCTGTTTATTGAGTAAAGATGGATCAGCTACATGGCTTCTATAGTGTGCTTCTAATTCTCGGGTTAAAAGTAGTATCTGCTGCCAACGTTTTTTATTTCTGGCCGAAAGCCATAGAGATAAGTCGGCCCCGTAGGACCGCCTTGTGGGCTACCCAGAGTGTGGCTGGGGAAATATCAGGGGTTGAATTAGATTGAAAGTATTCCTTAAGAGATGTAACCACCTCCTGCCGAGAGTCAGTATCAGTTAGCATAGAATCATTAAGTCTCCATGAAAAGGGAGTAGGTGCCAATCCCACAAACGTGATAGATAAGGCCATAATACTGTGATCCGACCAGGGGCTCAAATGAATACTAGCTATCCTAGAATTAGCTAGCAATATAGGGGTACAAAAGATATAGTCTAGTCTAGCATAAGAGTCATGTGGGTGGGAATAAAATGTGTAATCCCTGGCTCCCGTGTTGTGCGCTCTCCAAGCATCCACCAACTGGAGGGCATCTAGTTTCTTAGTAAGGATTTTGGGAAAGCTTGGGAAGTGTGCGAGGCGGAGCTACGGTCGGTCCAAAAGAGGATTTGCCACCAGATTAAAATCCCCACCCACCAATAGATGGGGGGACAAAAATTTATCCAGAGCACCAAAAAATTAAAAAAAAAAAAGTAGCCTGTGCCGAATTTGGTGCATAGACATTAGCAATTGTAAGTTCTCGACCTGAAAGGGTGCCCTTAAGAATAATAAACCTACTGTCTGGATCACGATACACATGTTGAACCTCAAAGGGAAATGAGTTATGTAGAAAAATGGCCACTCCCCTACTCTTGGAGGAATGTAGGGTATAATACCCCTGCCTATAGGATCTATGAAAAAAGGTCGGGTGTTTTGCGGCTGCAAAATGCGTTTCCTGTAATAAGATGATTTTTGCTCCTAATCTTTTATATTGAAGAAAGGCTGTTTTGCGCTTATTTGGCGAATTGAAACCCTGGACATTATGCGAAATACATTGAATTGCCATAATAAACAGAGCTTGCCACTATCATCATAAAAGTACACATTACAAAGATATCCCCTAAAGTTATTTGACTAGACATAGAAACCCGCAGGTCTGCATCAGACAGACATACAGGTGGCAGATCCAGCCTAGGGGACCTCCAGACCCCAACATAGGGGTCGTGATGTCCACAGACCGACACAATACCATCCTCATACACTAAAGTTTTGAGAGAAGAGAAAACGAAAAACAATGGAGAAGAAGCTTTAATATCTTCTATATTTGAAAGGGTAACTGAAGAACATGGATCAGGCAGAAAAGTCGTCATACCTGATAAAACAAAAAGTTCAAACATTAAGGGGCCACATGGGCCCAAACCCTGTCTCCTTAGAACATGGAAAACAGAGCTGCCACCCCGCAATCGGGCGGCGACACCTCCGGCCATGTCAGGAGGCAGGGTGGGGTAACGTGTCAAAGAGTAGTACAACCATGAATTAATGGGCGCAATTAGGAGGGTCCAATGACCCTTGTTATACCTTAACTCGTCCAGTTATCAATGCAAGGCATACAAAATATTCAGTATTGCAAAAATATCACAGCAGCAACCACAGAAATATACAACCTGACAATGTAAGAAATAGAGAGCAAAATCCCTGTGTCCCAAATCTTAGTAAAGTCATAAAAAACAATAGACCAGACCAAAGACTATCAAGACAATGAGTATTAGGCAAGTGAGAATGGGCCTGTCAACCCGGTTCTTGTCTGACTCTCCTTCTATCCCTCCGTGGGGAAGGGGTATGCCAAATGGGAGAGATACGAGGGGTGGAGGGTGGGCGTTGAGGTGATGGGGCATCCGCCAAGCCTAATTTGGCCAAGATTGCTCTACCTTCGGGAGGGGATGTAGCGATATATGTGCTCCCATTATGTGGAACTATCAGCTTAAAAGGAAGCCCCACTTGTAGCGGATACGAGCAGAGAACAGGGCAGTTGTAACTTCTTTCATTTTTCTACGCCTCTCCAACGTGGCCGGAGAAACATCAGGATAGATTTGTAAAACCGAGCCTTCAAAGGAGATCGTTGGAGTATTGCGAGCGCTCTGAGTATTTCTTCCTTGGTCAGAAAATCCTTCATGCACAAGACAATATCCCTAGGCGGCTTGTCAGCAGGAGGTTTAGGGCGTAGGGCTCTGTGGATGCGGTCACAAGCAAAAGATCCAGGGTCACGATCTGGAAGGAGTGACTTGAATAACTTGATTATAATTAATGAAAGATCCGACATAGACTCCGGGATTCCCCTGATTCGCAGATTATTCCTGCGATTGCGATTATCAAGATCCTCAACCTGCGCCTGCAGTTGTGAAAAGGCCGTTTGTAAATGATCATGCTCTCTGGAAAGTTCACCATAGGCCAGGCTAAGTTCATCGTGTTTGGTTTCCAAGCGGTCTGTCCTAGAGCCCAGCGTGGCTATTTCCTGAGAGAGAACATTAGTGCTTTTATGCAATTCTGATTGAAATTTGGCGGCTAGTTTGGCGTACATAGATTCCAAGCAGGACTCCAAGTCCCCTTTTGTGAGTTGCTGTGTATTTTCGCTGACCAAGGCCGATAAGGGAACGGTGGTATCCCGTGCGGGATCGGACAGGGATGCTTGCTCTGTATTGACTGGAGACATGCCGCAAATCTCGTGAGCCTTAAGGAGGTATGTCGTGAGGGACTTCTGAGCTTGTCCCTTTTTTTTCTTGGTGGACGGCATACAAAGAATCTCCCGGGGGTGATCAACTGAAAATTGGAAAGTGAATGGAGACTATAACCCCAGGGGACCTATAGCGCCCAAAATAGGTTCAGGGTTGTAGTTACATGGATGCTGTCAAACCCATCTGCGATAACATTATATTGTAAAAATATTCAGCAAGCCTTGAAAGGGTAGATAGAACATAAGTCACAGCAACCAGCAAAAATTTCACTCCGGGGCAGGATGATAGCACCAGATCCCAACTCAGGACACGAGAGGGATGGGTGGGAAGCAGGAAGCAGAGGACCTCCGATTCTGAGCACAGGGCCCCAGGGAGACACCCCCTGGGGCAGTATCAAGGCCCCAGTAGGCCTCTGAGCCCAGCAAGGGCCACAGACAGAGAAGAAGATGGGCTCTGGGGCTATTAATGTGAGGCCCACTCCCCAAATCACTGTGGGGAGATCATGATAACAGGATGCCACCTGTACCCCCCACTCACTGTGACCAGGTAAAAAGAGGCCTCTGGCAGATGGTGTAGGCCGCAAACGTCGCCGCCGCCGCGGGGAGCAGCAACACTCAGCGACGTCCCTCTCTCAGCCTCTGTGATGCAGAGGACGCTGCAGACGTCCTCGGGTGATCCCCCACAGCCCGGATGGCAGCGGATGCGGATAGGAGGTGCCGGAGCCCCGGCCCACGCGGCCGCACCAGGCCGCGAACGTCCGCCGCCACGAAGGGCGGAAATATCGCCCGGATTCTACCTCCCAGGTATCCGGGATGATACCAGGGCCCTCCGCTGCTCCACTGTGATCCGCTGCTGCACGGATGGCAGCGGATTCCGGAGGACACGCCCCCATTTTATTTAAATTATAACGCATACAAAAAGTTAGTTATTTTAGATTTTGCATCAACATAATTTGAGGATAATGGACTTGGGGGAGGAGCCACGCCGTACATCTACAATGGTCAGTTACCGCTTTCCTCCTTTTTCCCAATCTCCTGATTTTCCTCCCTGAGACGGAATTGGTTGATAAAGAGGTTTATAGAATTGTGTATGGAGATGTGGGTGGCTCTGAGAAGAACTGTTGTGTTGGGTAATAGAAGTTACTTGTGATGGGCCGAACACCCCTGTGTTTGGTTTGCGGTCGAACGTTCAAACCTAATAGATGTTCAACGACGAACTTCAAGCTCAATGAAAGTCTATGGGACTCACTTGTAAATTCAAATGTGCCCATTTTGAAGGCTTATATGCAAGTTTTAGGCCATAAAAGGGGTATGGAGACATGAATCAGTGAAAGCATTTTTTTTTCAAAAAGTAAATTTTTAAAGGGGCAGTCATTTTTCATTATTTAAAGTAAACAATAATTTCTTTAAATATCATGTCTGGGGGATCCCTTTAAACTACATGCAAGCTACACATCTGTGCAATAAATAGAACCAGCTGCAGAAGGACTGACTTTTTTTTTTAAATTACATTAAAAAAAATAACAGCATGGGGTCCCCCCTAGTTCTTACCAGACCCTTTAGGTCTGGTAGGAAGGTTAGTAGGCACCCCAAAGTAAGAAATAAAAAAAGTGTGTGGGGTTCCCCCTAAAAGTCCTACCAGGCCTAAAAGGACTTTTAAGTGGAACCCCTCCCCTCAAAAAATGGGTGACGAAAATGTGGGGTCCCCCCGAAGTTCTTACCAGACCCTTGATCCGAGCACAGGCCTGGAAGGGCTAGGAATGGAGGGAGGGAGGGACAAGGGTTCTTCCCTCCTGTAATGTGAAGCGGATTGTAGTGGGGGATGGGAGAAGATTGTTTTGTGGGTAGGTGTGTCCCCAAGCAGGTAGAAGGAAGAATGGGCCCCCCACTCCGGAGGATGGTTGTGTTTGCAGCCTCTGTGTTCAGCCTCCTGAGCAGCTCCTGACAGCTGGAAGTGACCCCCGATAAGTGACAGTCCAGGGAGCAGATCGGCTCCCCGGTGCACATCGGACATCATTCTATTTCGGAATAAATTCATTTTTCTCTCTGCCTGGGAAACACAATGAGAGAATGAAGATTCTCCGACACTGAAATGAAAGCCAGTGGGCGTGTCTGCCGTGTAACCAATAGCAGGACAGAGTCGAGTTTTGTGTCAACCAATCACAGTGTTAGAACGTCTGTATATAAGGCGGAGCGCCCTGTGATTTGTAATGAACTATTGTGGAAACATTTCCCGAGTCATGACGGAGACTGAGAGCGCCCAGCCGCCGCTCCTCCAGCGGAGGCCGCCGCCAAGAAGAAGCCGGCTAAGAAGACGGCAGCCGGAGGAGGAGCCAAGAAAGGCAGCAAGAAGGCGTCCAGTCCCGGCGTGTCCGAGCTCCTCGTCCAAGCCGTGTCCGCTTCCAAGGAGCGCAGAGGGGTGTCCCTGGCCGCCCTCAAGAAGGTCCTGTCCACCGGAGGATACGATGTGGACAAGAACAAGAGCCGCCTGAAGATCGCCCTCTTGGCGCTGGTGACTAAGGGGAGCCTCGTCCAGGTCAAAGGCCATGGGGCCTCCGGATCGTTCAAGATCAACAAGAAGCAGCCTGAGGGCCCCAAAGACAAGGCCAAGCCCAAGAAACCGGCTGCTAAGAAGGCTACAAAGTCCCCCAAAAAGAAGGCGGCCAGAAAAACAACCACCGCAGTCAAGAGCCCCAAGAAGGCCGCCAAGTCCCTCAAGAAGGCGGCGGCCAGCAAAACAACCACTGCAGCCAAGAGCCCCAAGAAGCTGGCTGCCAAGAGACCAGCAAAGGCTGCAGCCAAAAGGTTACCAAGAGCCCCAAGAAGATCAAAGCTGCAGCCAAGCCGAAAAAAAAAGCCGGCAAGAGTCTCACTAAGGCCAAGCCGCAGCTAAGAAGGTGGCTAAGCCCAAGAAAGCCGCTCCGAAGAAGAAATAATGGGCGGCGACCTCCATCTCCACCCCCAAAGGCTCTTCTCAGAGCCCCCCACCTCCTCCCAACAGAGCTCTCCATACATACACCGGCATTGCTGAGTGCACACACTGCTCTGCATGTCATCTTTCCCCGATATAGAAGATTTGATAGAAATAAAGATTGAGTTTGAGGAAGTGGAGTGACATCCATGCCGATATGTCACTAAGTAGGTTATGTAGCTGGCCAGCTAAGACCAGTCCTAGGTTGCTAATATGGTTCAAATATATATGTATACCAAACCTGCCAATAACCTCAGTACAGTGTATATGTGTATATGTTAAAGCCAAAAGCAGAATCATTGCTGTGATTTATGTCTTTGATTGTTATATGACATTTATATATTCATTGTGTTAGCAGAAGCAGAAAAGGAAAGTGTGCCTTTAAGAGTTAGTATAAGGTGAGCTAATCACAGCCAGCCTCACACTGTACAGAGCCTTAACCAATCCCAGCCAGTTTCACATTTGTGCCTGTGTAAAACTCCCTGCTAGGATTTTCTAGAGACACTTGCTCACCAGACAGAGGAGGAAACAGACAGTTCCAATCAGAGAAGCTTTATGGAAACAGAGAAGGCCAAATAGGTATTTAATGCACTTGTATGTTCCTCTATTGTTTAGTAATGCAGGTAGATCTGTATGTAAAAACTGTTATATGTGTTTACTTGTAGTTCCACCAAATTAATTTTACGAATATTCAAATAATCAAACTTACAAATTTACGAATCAAGTCACTGTAGAGTAATCATAATCAAACAAATTTATCAAGCTATTGAATCAACCCAATGTAATACAAATTAAACCATTGTAATATGAAAGAAACAAGCCATTGTAAGCCGTGTTATATGAAGAAGATTGAAGTTATTAAAGAAGTTAACTAAAGTATTCGGTGTGCTCTTTAAACCTACTGCATCCATAGAGCGGCATTGGAGGAATTACAGAGTAAAGTCAGTTTAATAAAACAAAGAAACAGCAATTGCATAATTTTTCTAATGCCACAGCGCACTAGGCACCAAAGGGTGCTGCGCCTGCCACAGGTTAGTAATGTGAAAGGAGACTAAAGGGGTGAGGTGAGGGGTGGAAAGATAGATTTGTGTGTCATCAGCTACTTACAGCCATGGGAGTTTATCAAGTGACCAAGGGAGGAGGTGTAGATGGAGAAGAGAAAAGGTCCAAGGACAGCATCTTGAGGGCAGCGGCGGACTGACCATTTGGAAACTCAGGCACTGCCTGAGGGCCCAGGGTCAGTAGAGGGGCCCCATGAGATGCCCCTGGTACCTTTTTCATAGGCTTTTTGAGTTTGGGCAAGGACACAGGGCCCCCATGATCCCCTATTGCCCGGGGGCCCCATGAGTTGTCAGACTGCCCCTGTTTGAGGGAATAGAGGAGCCAGAGTTATAGGTAACGCTGAAGGAGTGCTGAAATAGGTAGGAAGAGAACCAGGAGAGAGCAGAGTCTCAGAGGCCAAAAGAGTGCAGTTTTTTGAGGAGGAGATGGTCAATAGTATCAGAGGCCGCAGAGATTTTAAGTAGTAAGAGTACAGAGTGGTGGCCATTGGTTTTAGCAGTTAGTAGATCATTAGTGAGTTTTAGTTGGGCAGTTTCAGTGGAGTGTAGTGAGTGAAAGGCAGACTAAATGGTCAAGAAGGTTGATGTCAGTCTACAATTGCCTGAGCTCCTACCTCACTAAGCGTTCTAAGAGTTTAGAGGTAAATGGCAGCAGGGAGATGGGTCTTAAGTTGTTTAGGTTGGTGGGGTCCAGGGAGGGCTTTTTAAATATGGGAGTTATGTGTGCATGCTTTAGAGGGGAGGGGAAGGCACCATTGGATAGGAATAGAGATTGAAGATGTGAGAGAGCATAGGATGTAAGAGGGTGACCGTAGCAGTTGTGAAGGGACAGGATCCAGGGGGCAGGTAGTGAGACGGGCTTCTGAGAAAACTTTAGTGACCTCTTCAGTAGTAGCAAGGTCAAAAGAGGAAAGTGTTGAGGGAGGTTTAGTATAAGGTATGCTAAGTGGGATGGATGTCTGTGTAGTGGAGATGCCCCTACAAATTGCATCAATCTTGTGTTTGAAATGATTTGCAATCTTGTGAGTGAGGTACTGGGTGGAGAAAGTAGAGAGTTAAAAGTAGAGAAGAGTCGAGGACTGGATGGACAAGGTATTAATAAGAGTGACAAAGTAGGTTTGATTGGCAGCATTGAGGGATGAATTGTATGTTAAAGCAGATTTATATAGGGTGAAAGCTTGCTGAGATTTGGTTTTATGCCACAATCGCTCCAGTGCACAACTATGTCGCTTAAGATTTCTGGTGTGGTCAGTCTGCCACGGATGTAATGGTCGGGTCCTGATACTTTGTGTTGTTAGAGGAACAAGTGAGTCTAGTGCAGATGGAAGCGAACTGTTGTAGACAGCCGTGGCCAGGTCAGGGCAGGGGGAGAGATTGTCAGAGGCGGTAAGATGCAGAGTGGAAAAGAGAAGGGTTTAAGTTGTGAAGGTTTCTGCGGGTAATTGTTTGCTGTTCAGAGGCATAGGTGTTTGAAGATGAGGACACGGAAGGTGATGAGATTGTGATCAGAGAGAGGAAAGTGGGTGTTTGTGAGTTTGTAGGGAGTGCCAAGATGGGAGAAAACAAGGTCTAATGTATTCCCATCAGAGTGAGTGGAGGACTGTGTCCATTGTGTTAAGGTAAAAGATGGTTAGGTTGAAGAGTTGGGATGTAGTCGGGTTGCTCACATTAATGGGGATGTTAAAATCTCTAAGAATGATAGTGGGTATTTCAGAGGAGAGAAAGTAACCAGGCAGAGAAGTCATCAAGAAAGCGGGACACCAATCCAGGAGGCCGATGGATCACTGCAATCCTCAGAGAAATGGTAGAAAACAGCCAAAAGCAGCG